AAGCTGACAGGTTATTTCCTGCTGCATCCATACTGAAATTCAACAGAATGGAGGTGATCTAAAAGGAATAAATCCCACCACACGAAGCATTACAGCCCTGGAGATGTGGCTGCCACACATGACTCAGCACTTCCAGCGCTCTGGTTAAGCAAAATGTACAACTTCTGCCTTTAAAGACAAACTCCTTTTCCTGTTGATCTGAAAATAATTCTTGTAAGCCTTAAGTCTGCTAAAAACCTTTACAAATTCATTACAAACTTTGGGGTTACAACTGATTTACTGGTGTTCCTTTGCATATCTATCACGTCAAGCTAGATAATATGGCACTAAGAACCACTGTATTTGTCCACTGGAAAAGCAATGTTAACTTGGAAGAAGCAGTGAATTTGAACATTCTAACCACACTGCCAAGAGAATAAAAGCGGTATATTCAGATCTGCTCAACCCCTTCCCTTCCCAAATACATATGGAAGCAGACAACATTCTGTATGGGGTGTCCATACAAATATACCTTGAAGAGAGGCTTTTTATATGAAACTTCACTCAGAAGTGTCTTGAAGCACACAGCTTGGACATATGACAAGAAAGCCTCCTAAAATTAATGGCTAAGACACCTAACATGAAATTTTAAAAGCTCATGGAAAAAGCCAGCAGCACGTTTCAGGTGAAGAACATATGAAACTTCTCATGAAATTAGAAGACTGGTCCACGGGCCTTCAGGCAAGAAGAAATAAGATCAATACTGAGCCACCACAGACCTTAGGATGTCACACTTGGTACTTTACTAGGGAAGATCCATAAAGAGATGCAAAGCCACAGAAGACTTGGGATGAGTGCATTCCCTGGCATCTGCCAATACCCTTATTGATGCTGAACTGAGCTCCTCTTCAAGGATTATTTGCTCATCAGAACACAAAAGGGTGGGGGGAAACTCATGAAAAGAAATCAATCAGTTCACCCATGCAAGTCAAAAGCATTCACCTGCTCTGATGGAAAGCAATTACGATAACCATGACCACAGACTGACAGCAAGAGAAATCCTGACACAGCATAAGTGCTTTGTAGGAATTTCTGCTCCTTCTTACTGGATATACCTTGGCTCTGCTCAGGTGTGCTGCAAAGCCCTCCATTTACACCAGTTTCAAGAAGAAAGAAGCAATGAGCAAGAGTGTGGGTGAAAAGGTGAGGAGCACCAGCAACCTATCAAATACATACACTGTTTCCTTGCTTGGGAAGAGTCCCTTGTTTGATAGATGCTTAAATTGAGTCAAAGGCACCCACGCCAAGCAGAGCGTTTAAACACAGATCAAGGTCAGGAAACCAAGTGGGTTACAACACAGGTAATTCATTCCAATCCCCCAGTGACATTTCACTATAAAAAAGTAAACTGCCAATATCCAAACTGAGCTTGTTGTAACTGTGACATCTTTATACCCAACAGAACATTGGGTAGAGTGTGGAGGACATTATGTGATTTATGATTGAGCTAAATCACAAATCTTTGAGTGGATCTTATGTTTACCAACAAAATGTTTGGGAAGGTTTTTTTTAATTCTAGGAACCCACATTGGTCCCTCTCTGGCTGTTATTTTTGCATGCATTCAAGTTTAATTGGGTGCTGGAAGCTGTGACTGCCTCAGCCATCTGTCTCCTGTTCAGTACACAGGAAACAGAATGTAACACAGTGATCCAAGTGCCTTAACTGCAGCTTTGTCTTCTACTTAAAGTGGTACTTGGCCAAGAACCACATGCTCCCAGCATGATTCACAGAAGTAAAAAGCCTCATCATGATGTTCTCCTAATGCTGTCTGCTTCAAAGCAGGGTATGAGGGGGGCAAAGATTTATCAGATGCCATCCCCATAACCACACCAACGTCCAGATGCTAGACCTTTTCCTCCACTGCTCACATACTTCTCTGCTTTCCACATCCACCAATCTAGTCTCTGGAAAAGAAACTGTCTCCTGGGCAGTGATCATGGATGCTTTGCACACTGACACAATAAATCAGCACATAAGAGACTACACAGCAGTTGCATCAGACACACTAATTGCCACAGTAGGTTTAAGTAGTTAACCATGTCTCAAAGCTGCAGAAAAGGCCAAGATGTGATCACAGGGCTCAGAATGCAGATGAGACTGTGCTCACAGAACACCTTCTGCAAATAAGTTAGGCACTTGTCCTCTGAAAAATTACACTTCTTTCTGTATGAAGCATGTCTACTGGCAGGGAGTGCTATGGAAATAAACCCACTGTTCTGTGACACCAACTATCGTATCATTTGAAGCACACTAGAAGCTCAGCTGTAGCAGTTCAGTTTGAAGCAGACAGGTGCATAAATAAAAAGCTCATCTTAACTGTGGAAACTTCACAGCTGAGCATCAGGCACCAAGTGATGACAGGAATGTGCCTCCTTCTGATACAGAGCCACCAGCTGTGGATGTCAAGCCAGAGCAAAGACAGAGAATGAAAAGCTATTGAGTGAGAGGAAGTTATTTCCACAGTGACTAAAGCTCCGGGGCTGAATCCGGTTTGGCAGAAAGCCGTAATCCACATTTACTGCCCCACCAAGCCTTCAGTAACACACGTGGAGCAAAGAGCTCAGCTTTGGCAGAACAGGAGGCTCAGCAGCTCATCACCGCCCTCTTGTGGACACCGAGCAGGAGACGAGAAGTAAAAAGCCAGAGCAAAGTTTATCACGGCTTCAATTAACTACTTCAAACAGATGCTCACACGTTTCTAATATCACTGATCTCTTTCTGAAAGCACAGTAGAAGGGAACACATGCTATGTGGGTTTTAGTAGATGTTTTTACATTAGCTAATATGCAGTAGAAAGCAAACATCTAATTAGAAAGCCAGAACACAAACTCTCACAAGACGACGTGCTTTTGCTTCTATAAGGTTGACACCAGCCATGTCAATCGTTCCCAAACAAAGCCAAGAGAGGTCACACTTCACCTTGCAGTTCGTATTTGCAGAGCTTGCTCCCCAAAACATCACAAGAATAGAGAACACATTTGTTCCTCTTTCCAGGCAAAACAGATAGAGCATCAGCCTAGGTCAACTATGCAAAATGCGACCTAGACTCCTACTGCTCTTCATCAGAGAAGATGAAACCCTTGCATTCCTCTCAAAGATCCAATATCAACACTCTACAGAAATAAGTGCCAGAGAATATAAATACCAATTTGACAGAAAACGGGCTCAGCTGAAAGAGAGAGAAGCACTTTGCAAGCAGCATCAAAACCTACTACACTGTTACATATCTCAAAACAAGTGTATTAGAAGCTGCCATTTGTGCCACTACCACATGATAGCAGCACAGACAATAGCCTAACTCAGTTCTATTCCATACTCTGTATGGCATTTACCCACAATCTCATCCACAGACCTATTACAGGAATCAGGAGAATATGAAAAGACACTCGAAACAGATTGAGCGAAAGATTTGTTTCACAGAACCCAAGCAAAGCATTTTCAGAAAGGAATTACATAGGAATGACAGAAAAACCTCAGAAGCAGCAACTCCTGGGATGGCCCAAGAAGCCTGAACACTTAGGGATCTAAACAATACACACAGCAAGCAGGTGTCTGGCAGGAACAGAGGGGGTTTGCACTGTTAATCTGGTTTAACAGACATCAAACAGCAGCTAAGGTCCTATGGAAACTGCTTCATCCCACTTCAGACAGTCCTATCCAAATACCTTCAAATCTCTTGTGGCTGTCATAGTCCTCGGAGCAGGGGATCTCGATGAACTTGTCCTGCAGGGTCTCTCGGCGATGGGCCAGCACCTCAGTGACTCCATCCTCAGCACCCAGGTACCTCCAGCTCAGGAGGGCACCGATGGCAGCAGAGGCAAGGAGGAACAGGGCCCTCAGCCACCTCCACCGTGAGTCCTGCTGGCCTCGGCTCCTCTTGGCACTGGGGAGGGAAACAAGGACAGCTCCACATAAGCAACAGACCCACTCCAGAGCCTGATGGACCACTCCAGCCACCCACTACGATACCCCTGTGTTCAGCACTGGGAAGGTCACACCTCGAATAAATGTTCAGTTCTGGGCCCCTCGCTCCAAGAAAGCCATTCAGGTGCTGGAGTGGGGCCAGAGAAGGGCAATGGAACTGGTGCAGGGCCTGGAGCACAAGGGTGATGGGGAAGGGCTGAGGGACCTGGGGCGTTCAGTCTGGAGAAGAGAAGGCTCAGGGGGGACCTTATCACTGCCTACAACTGCCTGACAGGAGGATGGAGCCAGGAAGGGCTGGGCTCTGCTCCCAAGGAACAAGGGATGGGACGAGGAAACGGCCTCAAGCTGCACCAGGGCAGGTTTAGATAGAGATGAGGAACAACTCCTGCCCCAGAGGGTGCTCAGGCATTGGAACAGGCTGCCCAGGGCAGGGCTGCAGTCACCGTGCCCGCAGATGTTCACACAGCGTGGAGACGAGGCCTCAATGCCATGGGTGGCCTTGGCAGGGCTGGGGTAAGGGTTGGACTGGATGAGCTGAAAGGGCTTTTCCAACGTGGTTGATTCCAGGATTCCATGGAAGGGGAGGACCGACACCCGACTGACCCGGCACCCCGAGCGCACGCAGATGTTCAGAACCACCCGCCCTGCGCGCCCACAGCCTACAGCCACCCTCCCGCCGGGGCCGGCGGCGCTGCCACAGGCCGCTCCCCTCAGCCACCGGCCCCGCGCCCTGCCGCACCCCTGCAGGTTGGAGCTGCCCGCCACAGCCACGCGGTCGGTCCCCCCCGTACCTGCTGTGGCGGCGGCGGCCTCCGCGGCCCGGCCCAGCCACCGTCCCCCCGCTCTCGGGACCCCGCGGCGCGGCCCGCCGCTGCGGAGCCATAGTGCCCGTCGGCACAGAGCGATGCGTTCGGCACTCCCCCGCCTGCCAGGGGAAAGCAATCGGCCGCCGAGCAGCAGCGTCTCAGACGAGTGGGCAACAGAACACCAGAAGCAGCGAAGGGACCGGCAGCAACCGGACAGCGCCGGAGCGCCGGAACACCGGAACCGGGCCAGAAAGCCGCTGCCGTGCGCTTTGTACCAGCGTACCGCGGCGGCAGGCCAAAGCAATCGATGCGGACCGGCTGTGCCGCGTCCAACGGCAAGCGCGCAGTCCGAAGCAATCGAGGGCGGAGCAGCGGCATGCGGAGGGCATGGCGGCGGGCGGGCCGCGGCGCCTGGTGCACCTGGACATGAAGGGCGCCGCGCCCCGCGCAGGGTACCTGGTGGAGGTGAGGCGGGAGCCGGCGGTGGGGCTCGGGGAGCCCGGCCCGGCCTGGCACCACCCCACCCGCCGCTGTCCCCTCCCGCCCCTCAGGTGCTGCCGCTGCTTCGCTCCCTGGGCGCCACCGGACTGCTGCTGGAGTATGAGGACACCTTCCCGTATGCGGGGCCGCTGGGGCCGCTGCGGGCACCCCACGCATACAGGTACTGACGGGCGGACCCCGATCCTGATCCCAACCACGGGCCCTACCCTGACCTCCCGCTCTTCCCGCAGCCCCGGGGAGGTCCGGGCCGTGCTGAGCCAGGCGAGAGCGCAGGGGCTGGAGGTGGTGCCGCTGGTGCAGACCTTCGGGCACATGGAGGTGAGCACCGGCCGCGGCAGCGCGGTTTAGACCCCTGGGAGCGCGGGGCTGGCTGAGCAGGGTGATGGCGGAGGGGGGTCACCATCACTGCCAGCATTGCAGCCATCCGGCGCTGCGGGCACTGGGGTGATGCTGCACTGCCCGCCCTGCTTCCTGCGCCCCAGCCCGTGCGTGCTTCGTGGTCAGAGACCCCCACGACAGCCCCAAGCATCAGCCGTGCCCCTCCTGCATGGAGTCGTGCTGTGCCCCGAGCTCACAGGCAGCCGAGTCCCAGGTTTTAGCAGAACCAGTGTTAGCAGAGCCCAGGTGGCACAGGGGGACGCGGCTGTTCCCAGGCTCTCCTTTCTCTTGCAGTTTGTGCTGAAGCACAAAGAGTTTGCTCATCTCCGGGAGGTGAAGGCCTTTCCCAACGCCCTCAACCCGCACAAGGAGGAGTCGCGGGCACTGGTCAAAGCCATGATTGACCAGGTCATGGCACTGCATGGAGACATAAAGTGGTTTCACATCGGATGTGATGAGGTGGGGCTTGTCTTGAGCCAGGAATGTTTTCCTTGTCAGGAATGATGGTGAGGGCCAGGGCTTCTGCATTTCAGTGGTGATGTTGGGGTAGGATTTTAGGAACGGAAAACACCAGCTCAAGCCAGTCTAGAAAAGCCTTTCTGAGAATAAGTAAAAAACCCCTATTTAGGTAGAATAAACATAGTTTAGATAAAACCTGCTCTAAACCAGCAGGGAGTTTAAATGCTTATCCAGCTTAAGAGGCCCAAATCCACTCTCTGTGTAGGACAAGGATGCTGGGGCTGCTCTTGGATGTGCCCCCAAGTCAGTTCTAGGTTCACACAGAGAAATCTCTTTCCCCAAGACAAGAAATTCATTTCATGTAATTCAGGACCTAAGGGTTGCTGGATTTGAACTGATTAAATCTGATGAAAGCTACTCCCAAAGACAAACACAGCATGCATTAATTATTCTTTAAATATTTTAGTTTCTATAGGGATATTGCCTTACATGATGCATTTAGTCATGGCTGCAGTCTCTTGCAGACTGATAGAAATGCTTGCAGTGTCTTCAACACTGAGAGATGCTTTTAAATACATCCACTCAGTGTGTCACATCTGTGCAATAGGTTTTGAATGCTGTATGATTTCATGATACTGTGTCAAACTGTTCCACTTATTCCTGTACAACGAAGTCAGGGTTATTTGCTTGATGCTTCAGGTCTACTACCTCGGCGAGGGAGAGGAGTCAAAGCAGTGGCTGCAGCAACAGGACAACACTCCAGAGAAGCTGTGCTTATCCCACATAAAAGCAGTAGCGAGTTGTGTGGCCTCATCTTACCCCACTGTGACACCCATCGTGTGGGATGACATGCTCCGAGGGATAAGTGAGGAGACACTGGCAGGTGTGTGGCCATTGATGGGGTGAGGCAGGTTTTGTAGCATACAGAAAATGCTCACACGACCAGTTAAAACAACACATCCGAGAATAGCTGAGATAGGGCACAGTGACACAGACTAGAGAGAAGAGACACTCAGTCTTGGCTACATCACAGACTTTCTGCATGACAGTCGGTAAGTCTCAACACATATACTTTAGTTTTGCAGCTGGTAATACAGAGTGACAAATGAAAACACAGAGGTTGCCATCAATTCTGCTTTCTTTACACATTAAAAACCCCAAAACTATTAGCATTTGTGATCTCAGTCTAAATTTCTGTGCCTCTCACCACCTACTCATGTTAGTTGTTGCTCTGTGCAGCATCTGGTTCCCACAGAGAAGCTGCAACCCTGTAAGCATCTTTGACAGTGTATGTGATCACAGTGCCCATCATGAGAAACTCTGATACTGAACTGTGGGATAGCTCCAAGAACCTGACATCATGAGTCTTGCTGCTTGAAAAATAGGAAACTACTGCTAAACTGTGAGGAGTCCCAGCATTTCAGAGCCACCTTACATGTCTGCTCTACACAGGTTTAGACAATACCAGAAGAGCTGTGCAGCTCCTCCAGCAGTGACTGACCTATTCATGGCTTTAACAGTGGGAAGTCATCCCAAAAAATGCAAATGGGATTCATGGAGTTCCCACAAATGCAGCACAGCTTCTAGGAAAGTGCAGTCTACTGCCACAGGCAAAACCAGACTAAACAAGCTAAAATGGGATGCAGTTAAAATCCCAAGGTTCTGTACGATTTACTGCAGTTTCTCTAGGGGTTGGTTTCCCATGTTTAAAACTAGTCAGGGGTTGATTATTATAAGATTTGAAGCTAAATCTGTATCTTTACTTGTACTTTAAAGGCATCTTGAAAAGCAAAGCTCTGTGCAAGCACAGCTCAAACAATCTGTGCCTTAAAGGCTGAATATTTCCTTTGAATTTAGCTGAAATCTTGTCTGTACAGTTTGTAGCTTGGCTAGTTCAACCAGCAGGTATACAGATAGATGCAAGGGACTAAGAATGAGATGAGTTTGGGATGAACAGGCTCTCCCATGAATGTTACTGCTGATCCATATTAGTGGTTTCAAAACATCTGAGGACTTAGTGGCACATGAAACTCACACATTCAAATTCCAGCCAGGCTGAATAAAGGCCAGGGGTGCTTCAGCTGCAATTGAAGGGTCCTGGTGACAAGCCATAGTTTACTCAGTCATGTGCTGATACACCAGTAATACATACTTAGTTCTCACTTTTAACTGGCTGTTTTCAGTGACTTAAAAGAACTCTTTCTTTCAGAATCTGGGGTGCCACAGCTTGTGCAGCCAATGATCTGGGACTACGCAGCGGACCTGGATGTGGAAGGCAAAGGTTTGTACATCTCTGCTGAGCTGCATAGAAGTAATTGTGATGCTTTAATATCATAAACATAGCCCTTGGTTGGTTTCTCCTAGTAGTTGCTACTATTTATTTTCTTTCAACAATCAGTTTTCAGATGATGTGAATTCTCATTACATGCCTACAGTTCTTAGCATTGCAGCAATTTAGGGGGATGGAACATAGTAGCTGGGCACATGAAACCAGGAGGGCAGTCACCAGAGCAGGTTGCTGAGAGAAGATGTCAAATCTCCCTCCTTGCTGATGCTCAAAACTCAGTGGGACAAACCTGTTATAACTGGCCCTGGCTCTCCCTTAACTGGAGTATTACAAGTCAAGGCTGAAAACAGAGAAAAACTTGTCCTGCAAGCGTTCTTTTGTGTCTTACTGCAGTGCATCTCATAGAGAAGTATCGTAGATGCGGCTTCTCCAAGGTGTGGATTGCTAGTGCTTTTAAAGGAGCTACAGGAGTGAATCAGTCTCTAATCCTTATTGGACACCACTTAAAAAACCATCTTCAGTGGCTGAAAGTGGCAAGCAAAATCCCTGCTGATGTCCTCGAAGGTATCGCACTGACCGGCTGGCAGAGGTAAGGAACATCCTTTAAATGGTTCTAAGGATCACTTGGAAGCAAACTTCCACCCAAAAACTCCTTAAGAGGTCCAAGGATGCTGGAGATTTAGAAGAGAACTTTGCAACCTTGCAGTCCTTGCTGTTGGTTAGTGCTGGACCTTAGCCACTGTCTACAAAGGGTGGATTTCAGAGTTCCAGCTAACCAGTACAGCATTAGTCAGCAGGAGGGATTGTTTTGGCAGACACCAACAACAGCAGATTCGATCTGAAGGCTTGAATGTACTTTATGCCACCTTAAACTGCTTATGGACAGCATAGTTAATACACAGTGTATATCTGAACATCTAATGTGGATTAAAATAGAATGAAGTTGCATAAGAGAGAAAAATTTGTTAATGCAATGAAGGAGAAAAAGGGTTTTGTGCAAGTCAGGAGATCTGAAAGCATACCAGAGAGCTGAATTTCGATTTCTGTTCCTAATTTGGCTTGAGAAAATAAATTGGTTTGGAGCTCTTCTTATTAGTAAAATAGGAACACTTGGTGTTTCAGAGATAGAAGGTTCATTCTTGGAGACAGAAATCAGTGTTTCTAGAGCTCTTAGAATTTTAGTGATAGCAATTTTAGGACTTCCCACTTGTTTAGTGTGTTCTAACCATAGAATGTCTAATCAATGAATGTTTTCTTATCTAGGTATGATCACTTCTCTGTTTTGTGTGAGCTTCTCCCAGTGGCAATTCCATGCTTGGCTGTATGTCTGCAAACACTAAAGAATGGTACAATGGCAACTTTATTCTCTCGGCTTATACCTAGCACAAGGGTGAAGTGGCACTGCCCCAAGGTTGGCACAGGCTTATCGTTTGAGGTGGTTTGACTGTCTGATCATGGTCTGCATTATGAACAATAAATTACACATGTTGCATGTTTGTGATATGGGAGCAGGGAAGGCTCTTGGCTTAGGTATTTAAAAATAGCCATAGTATACTAATCATTATGTTCTCATCTGCAAATGGTCACAAACTTCTTCACGCTCCTACTAAAAATAATTTAGGCAGCTGAATTGCTTTCAGAACTTTGAAGCACCATTGGTATATAAATGAGACACTTTTAGATATAAATTAGATAATGAGACTAAACGAGATTTAGATCTTCTTTACATGTAAAAGTCATTGTAACTAATCCAGTTTTGTCTAGGAAGTACACTATCAGGTGAAATATTTCCTTTAGTGTCTGGTTTCTTCACAGGCAGTTGCCAACAGAACTTTTAACTGCATTTCTTATTGTCAACCTAAAAATCCCCACAACCTACTGGGTATTAAAACTAAGGCATTAAAAATACGCAGTGCTCATAGCAGCTCATAGCTAGAAAGTGCTTTACCTAGCATGAGGTGACTGTGTGAAACACAATTTACTCCTCCCACCCCTTGTTCTGTCTGTATTTTACCTTCTAAAAAACATCTTCATCCAAGGAGAACTAACTAAGCCAATGCAGAGTACTCCTGAAAAACCCTTTTATGAACATTTTGGTTACTTAAGCTCCTTTATGTATTTCCACTGTTTTCTGACAGGTGGATATTCTGACAAGGTTAAAGAAAATGTGGAAGAGCTTCTGGGAATGTCTAACCTGGAAATTGATACTTTCATGAGGTAAAATTCCAGCTGTAGGATTCATATTCTTCTCATGGTGGGGTGAGTTCAGAAACTAATGGATCTTTTTTGAACAGCACAAGTCTGGGAACCTTTCCTGGGAGCAATATTCTCACGCTTGTGACCGAAATCAGTTTCTACCTCAAGTCATCAGTGGATGAACTTCTTGAAAGGAACAGGTAATGAGGTTTATGTTGATTCTCTGCTGTCTGCAGGAGTGTTGGAGCTGTATCCTCTCAAAACAGGGCATAACTCCAGCAAAGTGATTTAAACATCAAGCTCTGTTTCAGGCATTGCATCCCTATGTATTGACACCTCAGCAGAACATAGCATTTTGATTCAAATTTGAAGTATTTCAGCAGGACTCCTAAATGGCATGTGCTGCCTTATCTCAAGAACCTAGTTCTTCCCTGAATTTTACAGCTGTTATTTAAAGTTAAAATTATTTTTAATGGTGTAGTTACAAAAAATGGAGCTTGAAATAAAACTTATATTGCAACACATGATCAGTTATTCTTACCTGCCAAGAAGAGTCTTTTACAAGCTGGATACGTAGACTTCAGTTTACTTACTCCATAAGCATTGTCTCTGTTTATGCAGAAGTAGTTCAGCTAAAGCCCTATCACCTCCCTGTCAGCCTACAGACAGGTACATTGCTGCTGTGTCAAAACCTGCTCATGCTAACGTCTGTTTTCAGGTATGTCACAGGCTGGTTCAGCCCCTACCACAGGAAAAGGAAGATTATCCATCCTATAATAATGCATCACTTTCAGCCAGATGCAGTAAGGTAACACCACTGACTTTGCATTGTAGGGGAAACAAAATCTGTCATATTTTGGCATTCAGGTACATATAGTTTTGAGTCCTTGCCTTTTGAACGGTTACAGAAGCATCAGTGGAAACCAAACAGCATGAAGGATTCATGTTATGGTTTTAAGAATGTTTGTCTGTGTCTTCTACTGAAAAATTATTTTGGGTACAAGAACAAAATTGGTCTCTGACAAACTCTCACTTGTACATGGAATTACTCTTGTACAGACCTGCTGCCTCTTACAGCAGTTACTCACCTCCATGCAGGAGCTCCCTGTGGGCCAGGTTCCAGGCAGGGGAAATAAAGCCAGACCACTCCACCTTGCTCCCTGCCACTATGAGCTTTCCAGAGCTTGTCCTAGACATCATGCTGCTTCATGCTAAATACATAATTAGTACTTTTTTTTTTTTGCTGTGGTAATGTGAATACCCAACTGCATCCACTCTTCCTGATTAAAAAAACAGAATTAAATTCCCAAGTCTCACAGTAAGTTTCAGTTAGACTTAAAATGCGTCTAATGCTTTTTTGAGTTCATATTTCAGTACCGAAAAAGTCATTGCTTACAGGAAGTGCCAAGATTAATGGTGCTTAATACACAAACCTTGTGCATCTGCACAAGGTCAAGTTCTTTGAGCTCTTGTAATAGATGCTCCTTTCCTGTAAAGGCATTTTAAGGCCTATACTCCCTTTAGAAGGCCCAGTAAGCCAAGCCTCTCTTGGGGCAGAGCTCACCTGCAAATGTGATTGTTTCTCTCTTATGATTCCTGCTTAGTCTTCTCTCCAAGTGGAATGGTGTGGTGCAAGACCTCCAAGCAGCCATGGAGCAAGTCTTCCACAAATGTACTGTAGAGGAGTGGATGGAGGAGAACGTCTACCCCAGCCTCCAGAAGCTGCAGCAAGTGGTGGATGATTTAGACGAAGCGATAAAGGCACAAAATTAGGGACATTTCAGTGAGTCTGTCTTGCTCCATGGGAAAACACAGCTAGTGGAGATCAGCAGCTAATCACTGAGCTAGTTTATCATCTCGAGTTGAAGCAAGAACTATGGTGAAAGAAGAGTGACCTGAAGGCATCAAAGGACTGGTTAGTGTATTGGGCTGCAGCTCTATTTTAATTTTCCTGTCTTAATGCATTGCTGAGCCGTGAATCACCTGCCCTGTGAAGGAGAGTTGCTCCCCTTGCATAAGAGAACACAAGAGTCACAACTCAGCTCCTTTACAAGGCAGGAGAAAAACCCAGTTTCTTCTAATTCCACTATTACTAGTAATAAGACTTTCTTACATAATAGTGACCTGGAAGAGTTCTACGAGTTCTACTCTAGTCAGTAGCCAGCATGTTCTCCTTTTGCTTTTTCTAGAAAATGCAAGATTTAGGATACTTCAGACATGCTTTGGGTCCTTACATTCTGTACTGTGACTCAGTCTTTCAGCTGCATCGAGATGTCCTACCATGCTGTCACGACAAGTCCTTCCACAGCATGTAGCAGTTGATTTGTTCCAGATTCTGTTTTGGACTTTTCCATTCTTTGAAGTACATGAAACATCAGTCTTGCTGTTGATCTGCTCATGAGGCTACAGCAGATGTAAGAGATGCACTATCATAGAGCAACAGGGAGCTCTGGAAAAGGAACTTGTTAGCAGCACTGACGGTGACACCTGGCTGTGAGGTAAAGCTGCCTTAACATGCTGGTCTTCTAAACTTCTTACCAAAGCATCAAAGCTGAGCATCATCCCAACCCCACAGAAAAGCACCATCCCAGTCACTTTAAGGCATCCATTTCACCTGAGAGACTGCAGACTCATTCACACTTGAAGCATGACTGAAGTCTACTGAATATGAGGGGGAAATGCTGTTATGTTACATGCTGCTTTAATGTTGAACTTGTAATCATGTATAGCAATATATTTTGTGGACTTAACTACAGCATTCAGATAATCACAATGGAAAAATCAGTTCAAAAGCCTGGTAGTTAAGTATGTTACTTTACCATGAATATTTAGAATATTCCTGTTTGCTTCATTTATTGCTTCCTTGAAAGTCTTAATTTTGGAAGCACAGGTATTGACATTTACTTGGAACAAGCTATTCTAAAGACCACAGCTCTAGCTACAGGAAGTACAAGTACAGGATGAGACAAATCTAACTTATTTAATGAGAGCTACAGGACTTAAGTCCATGTGCAGATTTTTATCTATGGAATCAATGGCTATGTAAACCTTAATTACAAAAGCCACGTACCTTGAACTAAACGAGATCTTAATTTATTTTACTTTAACAAATCCTTTGATACTCAAGAAGTTTGTGGAAACTTGCTTTTTTTTGCATGTGGCATGTTGGTTTGGTTTAAAGGGGTGGAATAGAAATACATTCACCTTTGGGGAACTGGATGTATCAGCTTAGATGAAATTGAAAGCCAGACTGCTGCAAAAGTGAAAACAGAGTCAGTAAAGAGCTAGGTATTTGGGCTTCCTTTACCCCATCCTCCACCAATTACCTCCTTCAGTAAATCTGTGCCAAGCAGTAATTCAGACAGCCATTAATATTTTAGTCCATTTTAATCAAAAACGATCTAAAATGCTAGTGACACAAAAATTATCAAAGTTGATTTTCTCAATGCACAGGTTTTTATAAAAAGACACTATAGAAGGCCCTGCAATTTGAAGTAGCAAAGCAGTTTCTAAACATCTTCCTAACATTTTTGCCTCTCTGCAGTCTGCTACAGTGTTAGAACTAGCATGATTTAATATGTAAGGCAGCTTAGTTTTTGGTACAGGTGTAACTTTATAAATACAGCCCAAGAGGCAGATATCAGCAATATAGGATAAATATTTCCATTTCCTTTGAGGAATTGATCCTACCTACTGGAATACCTCAATTTGTGAAATACCAGCATATTAGATTCTAGCTTAAATACAGCTTTTCCCTCTGTAAAACATGCAGTCTAGCTGTTGCTCAGTGCGACAGCTAAGGCCATGATCCATCTGACCACATGCATGCAAGAAACTCCAAATGTGCTCTTCAAGCAGAAGGTGAAGCACCTGCCAAGTGGCACTTCCCATACAGTTATATTAAAGGATAGAAGAGAAAGTGTAAGTTTTATGGGGCAGAGCTTTAGATCTAACCTAAGGGCTGTTACATAGGTTTTCAAGTCATTTATAAGTCATATGAACTACAGCTGTCCAGGCTCTAGTTACCAGGCAGCCTGAGAGGCAAAAAGTTAATACATCCCTGTAATACTCTTCTAGGAGTTTCCAATTTTCCTAATCCTAGTCATTCCCTTCATTCCTCTTAGTACAAGCCACCTTACATCAGGCACACATAAGGCTATGTTTACTGGGCCTTTTTATTTGCTAGGCCCAAGAGAATTGAGGAAAAGCATCCAAAAAAGCCTTCAGCAAAATAGTGGAATGGCAAGAAGATCAGAGAGGACTAGTGAATAGAGGTAAGAAAAGAACTTGTTCTGGGTTAGCATCTGCTGCTCTCAACAGTTCCTTCAACTTGAGGAGTCCACAGGCATCGTTGTAACAAAATCCACATTAATGGCAATTTGCAAGTTAATTTTCCATGCACAGAGTTATTGCAAAACATGAAAATCTGGCTGTTCTAGCTATAAGAAACAAGGCTTTTGAAGACAGGAAGCTCAAAACCTGGATCAAGAGAAAACACATCAGCCTGTGATATACATACACATACAGCATCATCCAATTACCAAGACAAGACATTCTTACGTTCTAGTTATATTCATCAGCCAGCAGTGCCCTACATACAGCCCACAGGCAGAACCCTCAGCATTCAAAGACTACTCAGTCTCCCTTCATGTACAGAACTCAGGTTCCCATTTGAAACTGCTAGTTTGTACAGCAACAGAGCTGCCACAGCAAAGTGGAAATGGCACAAGAGAGGATGACACCTCAGCCAAGTGACAGGCTGAGGAGTCAAAATACTCCTCAACACTGCATGCCAGCAGGCACTCCCCTCCTGCATCCATCAGAGGACTGAGGTGTGAGGGGGACACTACAGAACATCTTCAGAGATGATCACTGGACATCAACTCAAAATGCAACTTATTACACAGATGTATTTCAAGCAATGTTCTATCTTGCTATAGGTCATCCCCTTTCCAGGGATTCAGAATTTTCCTTACACTGTTTTAGTTTTTGCATAGTCCATAAGTATATACGTTACTAACATGAGATGCACAAAAGAGTTCAGCAGCAGCAGGGCACACAATGCAGCACAGATCAATAGACATGCCTCTCTAAAGCCAATTTTTAACTGGAAAACCATGGTGGTTTCTATCTTCCACAGAATGTTAGCTCTCGAAATACAGAAGAAACCCAGTATAGCCACAATCAAACACAGGTAGTTTTGTCACCTTCATCCATGATCAAATCTGCAGGCTCAGAATTTAAGTGCACTGAATATCTCTACAATGTACTCCTTCTAAATGCCTCTGCTGAAAGCAGTGGTTATGTGCAGGCTGAGCCCTTTTGCTTACATTATGACATTAAATACTCTAGTTTCTTCACTATTTCTTACTGGAAGTCCTTAGAAAATCCAACATCCTCATTCTACACCGTATTCTCATTCTACACCGTTCAAAAGCTCCATATTTCCAACTTCATTCTCCTCTCTAAGACAAGGATGTGTATACATACTTAGGGTGTATTTCACAAGGGATTTAAATGAAGAATTCCTGTTTCACTTTTATTACCCATTCAAACTGGCAGTAAGAGCATCTTAATCTCATAGCTGACATATTACCTCTAAGTACCTGGACATGAAATCTTGTTACCACCTGTTCTTTGGTCAGATAAGCATGCCCTTGGTTTCAGATATAGCTGAAACACTATAAAACTATAGCTGAAAACCTTCATAGCATAACCTTCTGCTGAAAACTCTTCATAGCTTTCTCTTCCATAGAGGTAGAGTGCTTAGAAACAAGAACTCAGTTCTTTTAACATCTGAAGAAACTGCTGCCCAAAGACAATTGCTCAGGCCAAACACGAAGTCATACCATGCAGTTACCTTGTACCCCATTCAGATCTCCTAGAAGTAACTATGTAAATATTTCTAATTCCGGTCTTAAGATCCCACAATTCCTAAATAAAACCTAGTGAACTTCAGTACCAGCAGTTTCAGCATGCTGAAGGAACCTTCAGCTCTTTGCAGAAGGTTCCTTTCTTCTTGTACTGACACGTTAATATAGGCATGGTGAAGTTTTAGCTCTAGACAGAAGATGTGGACTAACAGAGGTAGCTTTAACTTCAAAAAGTATCTTGGAAGACTTGTATTTTAACTACTTGTGAAACCGTTGGTCAGAAGAGAAGACACTACACACCTGGAGCAAACCGTGGGTGCAAGACAAACATCAAATCTATCCTAGTTATCATAAAAAAAAATATAAAAAAAAATCAGTATCATTTCAAGTGGGGAAATACTAAACAAAACTAGACCATGTTTCACATCAGTTTCTTCCCTCTCTCAAGTAACAGATGTGTTCTTCCTTTCTCAATACACAGCTAAAACAGTAAATGTTGAAGTTTAGAAAAAGGTTATTCTGCCTTGGGCTACACTATGCCCAGAAGAGAACAGGATTAAGCTACAACATCCTGAAGATGTTGACACATCATCATGATCATTTTTTGTTTACTATTTGCAGCTCCTTGGAAAGTGCAGGAGAAGAGAGAATGTAACAAGGTCAAACTGACATTTCCAATTACAAGACAGTCACTCAGACTTTAATTTCCACTCTAATGGAAAGTCAGTAGCAGAGTCTATGAAAGTACCACTATTCTGCATCACCTAACTGCATATATGAAGCTGCCTAAAACCAATTCAGCAATACATTCAGTCATTTGCAACATTTCAGTATCAGCCTCACAGTAGTGTGATGAGTTACAAATTCAGCTCTCCTACATTTAATGTACTGTACCTGAAGCAGATGTTTG